TCATTTCACGCCCGGCGGAGCGCGGAAACGGGTATTTACTCGAGATTTTCGTTCATAAATCAAGCGCCAAGCTTTCATGCAGCCCCTCTCCCTCAATGGGGGGTTGCACTACTATTCAGCCACTTAATCGATGCTGTTTATCGTGATCGCAATCGCGAAATTTGTCCATAAGCCGGAAACGGAAGGGTTGGAATCACGGCTCAGTTCTGACGCACCCTAAGGAAAAATTTTTAAAGGGAAGTTACAAGTTTTGATAATTATTTAATAAGAATAACTTCTAGATTTTTGTTCTTAAAATATTTTGTCAAAATTATTATTCTAAATAATGATAATTTTTTTTTTATATAAATATTGTAGATTTTGTTTTTATTGTTCGATTTTTAAAAAATAGCAATAATATTTTCTACTCTGCATATTTGAAAATGTTTGAACGAAATTCGAACTTAGATTTATTAAGTTTGTTATAAATTTGAATTAGATAACTTTGGGATAGATTTGTACTGTATTTAGATTAGATTTGAATTAGGTTTTGATTAAATATCAATTCGATGGGACTAGAATGTATGAGATTTAATTTGAAATTTAATTTTTGATTCAAAAGAAATTGTTTCACAAACATTATTCAAATTATTATTTATGAGAATAAGTTTATAATCATTATATGAATTATTAATACAGAATAATTATTTTTATTGATATAATCTCGTGTAAATGTTTTTACAAGGATATATTCATTAGTCAGTTTTAAAACGTATATCTATACGTTTATATTGTATATTTACTTTTCGATTATATTTTCCTATATCATATCAATATTTATCCGAACATATCTATGTAGTTGATATATCATGTTACAATACAAGAAGATACATTAGCATAGATACATTAGAATAATATGAACTTATTTAAAGATACCGAATATGAAAAGTTTGTGAAGCAACTTTTTGATTTAACATTCCAATAAAAATAAATTGTAAAAGCCAATATAATAAGACTTAGAATACACACAAAGAATAAGATTTGAAAAAATGTTTATCAAATTTCTATCATCTACAATATAATATATCTTTCTCAATTGAATTCTTATTCTCTTCAAATCTTATTCTGGCAAATAAAAATTCATTTCTAACTTTTAATTCGAATTAAATTTCATATCCATCTTTGTTTCCAGATATACCGATAACTCCTAACTTGATGGATATCCGCGCTTCAGGAATCGAAGGCATCAAGTTTTCCCATAGCTATTAGTATAGTTATTCATGGTTTCCTCTCAAGGAAAAGTCAATGCACTGGCTACACATCGAGAAGCGTGGAAACGCGTGATATTATTTTGATTTAAAGGAAATCAACAGGTGATCACCGACAGACGGGTAGCGAGTGTCGAAATCTAGAGGCTCGCCTCTCTACCTGTTTCGGGATCATTTTCGATGTTATCCCGCAACATATGCCCGACAAGGGGCAGATGGTAAAAAAGCGTTGAGCCAAAGCAGCAGCGTGTGACACGGGACAGTTTAAAGGGCCGTGGTGCTGCTCATCGGGCCAACCACCAATCACTGCTTCTTTTTTGATACAATGATGATGCACACGAACACACAGGGGCACATTACTCTCTAATTATCCGTCGATTATCTTTTAATAGAAACTCGCACTTTGGCAAAATTTCGGAGGGCTTCTGTTAAATCGTTCGCCGGAAGTAAAGACCATTAATAAATAAATAATTACAGAGAACGAAAAAGCATGTCTTCACTACAATATCATCATTACTAATACACAAAACAAATACATCATCAATTATAAAAAATTAAAAATTATAAAAATTATATTACAAGTTTTTTATATATATTATTGTAAAAAGAAGATTACTCGATAAAGATTGGAAAACACTGACTGAATCAAATCATGGATATGGAAAAATCTCGCCAAAAGATATCTCGAGCACTTCCATTCTTCTTAGCTCAGCTGCCACATAATTTCCCTAAGAAGAAACTTCAGACAGGAACTTCAGAATCGATAAGTGGTACTTGTTTCGACGTTTAACGAACACCACGACCACTTTTGCCTACACTTCTCCATTATTGCTGAGAGAAGTCGCTTCGACCGTGGCAATTTCCTTCGATTTTGCTTTGCCTCAATTTATTGCTTTCTTGCTTGATTTCGCCCGAAGCGCTAAGGATCAGTTCTCATTTGATCGTGATCTTCCATATTTTACATGATACTTCCTTCTTCTTCATGGTTACCTTGTTACCAGCATCACTGCTGAATCTTTTCACGCGACGATCGAGCATATGCCCAACTTCTTTTAAAAAAGGAAATAAGAAATATCGATAAGGAAAACAAATGGAAGAATCACGCGCAATTAAATATAACAAAATCGCATTCATTTGTAGATTTGCTGATACAAATGCGAAGAAAAAAGTATCTTGAGCTATTCTAGTTCTAACAAATGGAAAGGGAAGAATAATTTATAATATAATTGATGAAAGAAATGGGGAAAAAATTAATCTTTAATAACTTCAAATGGCAAAACTGATAAAAAGTTTCAAAATCTCATAGCTTTTTCAATTTCAAAGTATCTCAGGCTAATAATAATATTTCATTTCAAGTTCTAGCCAACGGAGAACGATCGAAAGAGCGGTCGATGCCTCGAATTCGGCCAGGAAACGAGAGAAAATTTATGATAAGGATGGGAAGATCGAGCGAGCCGCTCGAGGAGAAGGATGACGGTTTCGTCCCACCTGTACGTACACGTATGCGTATACCGTGTGCACGACACCCTGTGCATGCCAGATCCAGCTGCCATCCGTCCAAACCGCGCGCTCTAGCAAGGAGAAAGGAACGTACAGGTGCGATCGTTAAGTCAATTGAACTTTGATAAGTAAAAGTGCACGAGCGTATATTTACTGACGCGAGCGGGACAACTTTATCGTCGCGGCCGTTATCGTTCCGCCTCTTCCCGATTAATTACCGTTTTTTTTCTCCATAAAAGGATGATATCGGTGGTAAATACCATCGCAAGTACCTTCTCTTTTCCATAAATTCGATTGGCGGAATACGTTTCAAATTGTATCCTGACAAATTGTAAGTAATAAAGATAATTCGATCTTATTCTTATCATTCTTTCTTTTCTCGGTAGTTTTCTCTGGATTATCCAATATCTTTAAATGCTAATAACGAAGGATGGAAGTTATGTTATAATAACACTTGTTTCGAGTAGATTGGAAAGGACTACGTAACACAAAATATCATAATATAAGCAATCTATTATAACAATATATATTGTAAATAGGAACGATTTCAACGTCAATATTAGCAATTCGAGTTGATTCTATTCATATCTATGGAAGATAAAACTTTTACATTTCGAACGTATTGGAAACGAAGGTTCCGAATTTGCGGCGTCACGAGCATTGTGCGCGAAGCCAGTGACGCGTGACACGTCCCTGGAGGGCCGGGAGCGCCGCTAAATAGAACGCCCATTAGTAACGAATACCGCGAAGAATACGCCTCGTGTGCGCCTCTCGTATACATAGTGCGACGACTTTGGCCAGAGCGGTCGCGATAATTTTCTGTTAGCCAGCAGAGAGTAAGGATTTTTGTGAAAGAAGAGAGCGAGAGAGCGAGAGAGCGAGAGAGAGAGAGAGAGAGAGAGAGAGAGAGAGTGTATTAATTAAAAAATTTGTATTGTATCATTAATTGTAAATATTCAATAAATGTTATTTTTTAATAAATAAATGAGTTTTTTTATTTAAAAAATATTTATTCCTAAGCCTACATTCCTTCCAATCCTTTAGATTTAAGTAAATTAAATATAAAAATATTAAGTATTAAAAAAATAAATATATTTTTAATGTATTATATTATATTATAAGTACAAGCATAAATGTAACTAAATCAATTGTTAATTAAAAAATATGTATCAATAAATGTAAATTATACTCAAT